GTGAATTTAGAAAAGGGTTGGGGAATAAAGTACCTATAAAAACACACACTATACGACAATAATGCTAAGTTATTATTCATAATGCAGTGCGTGACATATAATATAACTTAACTGTCTGTCCCCTTCTCTGCTCTTTCAAGCTATTCTTTTATTTTCATAAGTTTCTTCACACCCATCACTTGCTTTTGTTAAGTAGTCTTCACTTCAACATAAATTCTTGTAGTCCAATATTCGACACTGTCTACGTTCATTGTTGACTAAAGAGGAAATTATTCCACCTGTGAGAGATTTGTCAACAACTGTAAGTTAATATCATAGCACTATTTCACCTCTTATTTTATATCGACTAAAGATAAGACAAATTTATAGTATATAAATGGATGTATAACTCATTTTACAGACCGATTTTGTGATATTGAATTTGGATTAAAGTCTACTTTTTAACATGGTATCATAGTCAGGTTAGAACCTATCATAGTAAGATTTATGTAAACATATTGTTCCATCCGTATCGGACCATCCATTATGTTTTTCACACCAACTAAAGATAAAATCAATTTATAATATATAAGTGAATGCAGACTTCACCTTATAACCTAATTTTATAGAATTGAGTTAAACTTAAAATTCACTCTTAAAAAAAAAATTCTTACAAGAGTTGCAATAATAACTGAGAAATATTGTCCGCATGGTTAGTAACTCCAACGTTTGCTAGTGATGAATCCACGTTGAGCGGAAGGTATCCGCAAAGAGTATCTGTGTGTTTTTTTCTTCTTCGTAGAAGAAAATGGTAAGGCTTGAGTTGGCAAAGAGAGAGGTTGAATTAATGTAAAAGTAATTATTGTGGCACGCATATAGATATATGCCTCCATTTTGGACTTATCTAGTTTTTCCAGCTGTGAATTTGAAAAAAGAAGAAAGAGGACGTTAAATGTTGCAGATAGACTTTATTGTCATTAACTGCAAAAAAAGGTTATGATGTATAGCTGGGTATGTTTGAAAAAAAAATAATAATAAAAAGGCATAGTTTGAATTTATCGTTTTCTTTGCAGTGCTTCCGGGGTGGGAACAAAATGCATGTGGATGTTGATAATATGGGTTTTTGTGGGAAAGAGACGAAGAAGATAGCAACATTACATAGCATGAGTACGTTTTGTGCAGAGGGGAAGACTTGCATAATTAAGTTTTGTAGTTAAGTGAACAATGCCCCACCCATGGACCATTCCCCCTCCTACTTCTTACCACTTAATTATCCTCCTAAACTATGTCCAAACCATTCATTTAACACTTAACTTTATATTAACCATGTTTTCAACATATATTAACTATGTCAATTAATCTTTATTAGGACCCTTTGGGTGGGTGCAAATGCATATGTATGCATTTATTTATAAGCTTTCTTGAACACCAACCAAATTAAATAAAATAACCATAATTTGAAAACATCTTTTTAACAATATTTTAATATTATTTACGTGTCATTCTTAGTCCAAAATTACTACACAATCAATAATAATTATTATAAATATCAACATAAACCAATCACGAAATGATTCGTAAATGATGTTAAAATGTTGTCTAAAAAATATTTTGAAAGTAATTATCCAATTAAATATGAAATATTTTGGTGATGCCACCTCGAACTTTGCAGATAAACATGGATGATAACATGGACACGTGTTAAATTCATAATCCCAATATTCGTCAACGTGGTTCATTGCAGTAGCATTTTAACACGAAACTAGAGAAATAATTTCAAACACGCTTTAACTAAAGAAATTGTTAGGAAGTTTTGGAGTGGGATTAATCTTTATTTAGTAATAAACTAAAACGTTCTCTTTATAACCATTTTTCTGTAAACTTTAATTCTCCTTTTACTAAGCAAAGAAACTATATTGGCTGCATGCTTTCGGGTTTTGTAAGATTTTTTTTTTTTAGATTATTCATAATTTTTTGTAATTTTAATCTTTATTGTTAGTTGTAATTAGCTTAACACTAAAGTTAAAATTTACCAAGACGATATAATAAAAGTTTTCGATTAAGCATTTTTTAAAACATGTTTTTTATTATTTATAGACTTAAAAAATAATTACTTTAGAATATAAAAATAATGTAATTTTTTTAAACGAATAAAGACAACAGAGTTAATAAATATTAAGTTTAATCGTTTTAATTTACCGTAAAATTTAAATAGTTAAGACATATAAATATCTAAGCTATTTTGTTTTTAATAATATCAAATTTTAAAATTAAAAATATAGTTAAATTTACGACAAATTTAAAACCTAATTACGTTTAAAATTTATATGCATGTTAGTATTAAATAATTTTTTAAAAGAACTTAAATTATTAGTAAAACTTAATTTGTAGGAAGTTTATTTATCCATCTGTAAGAGGTTCTTTAAATTGTTTTTTAACTGTTTTCTTTATCAGCACTTTTAATGATTTTCGAAGATTTGAAGTCAATAAAAGTCAAAATATTATGATTTAAAGAGATATGATAAAATAAAAACAACCTATGAGATTAAAGGTGATAAACATAGAATAATTATATGGATAAAGAATGAAAAGTTTCAATCTTTAGGAGTAGTTTTAAAAATTAATATATTGTGTTTAAATAACTATATTAATCAATTTCATTAATTTATTAATTGAATAGTTTTATAAAATTAATCAACTCAACTCTATTTTGTAATTAATTCATCTAACAATACGTTTATATTGATGGAAAATTGGTAGAACAGATTATGAAGAGAAGGGAAAAACTCAATTTTTAGTTCTTCATTTATTTTGTGTAACAAGACAAAGGAAAGAAGAGAAGCAATAAATGGAGTCAACTCTAATTTCATGAGTTCTCCAATTAGACAAGACAAAGAAGAAAATTATGTGTTTTTAATATTTTAGCAAAAATTAAATTCCAACGTTTACTAAAAAGTAGTCAATAGTTAAGAAAACATTATAAAACTTATCGATTATAAATCTAATAACATATGATTTATATGCCCAAAAATCTATATTATAAATTTAAAAATGTTTTTTATTAAATAAAAAATTCAATCAAACAAAATAAATATTTTTTTTTACAAGGCAAAAAAAAAACTAAATTACAAGTACAATATATATTAGAAATGTGCTAAAATAGTTAAACATGAATTTACTAATTAAAAAATCTATTCATAATCTAAAATCATCATTGAAATGTAGTGTTATGTGTTAATATAACTTAATATTTCTTATATTTAAAACCAACATTAAAATCCAGCACATGACAATTCGATGGCGTATAAGGAAAAAATTCAGAGTAGAAAATAAAGTAAATGAAAAAAAATCACGTGATCACTGAATTTTATCATTTTATACTATTTATTTTACCATTGTTATTTGAGAGTTTATAAAATAAAATAAGAAGTTAAAGAAGCGATTTGTCCCATTAGATTTATTTTTGGAGTAAATACATTTTTCTTTCAAAAACATATTTTTTATTTTTTTTAATGTTTGAGGTTTAATATTTATTTAGTAAGTTTAAAAAGTGAGTATGTAAACTAATTTAGCTTTTGGTTCATTTTCTTTTTGTGTGTGTGTGTGTGTTATTTTATATTTTGGTGTTTTTCTATGGCTCCTCAATTATTGATTGGAGTAGAAGTTACTTTTAAGAAAAGTTATCTATTGTAATTTAGTTATGCTTGAGTTAAATGTGAAATTAGATAATTAAGTTATGCATGTATAAAACTAAGAAGTTAATGATAATTTTGTGAATAACTATGTAATATTGGATAACTATAGTTGGTTTGACTAAAAAATAGTGTTTGTTGAATAAAAAAAGTCAAATTTTAATCAAGTTTGATATACAATTGTTAGATTTAATATTAATGAAGTGCACTTTTAATAAATTGAATAACATTTAGAATTTTGAATGATCATGGTTAAAATGATCAAATGATTGCAACATCTAAATACCTGTAATTGAGTGCTTTGAATCTTATTTGAACGTTGAAATAAATAGAATAATTTTTTTTAAAAAAAAATTTAAAAATGCTCTGAATTGTTAAAAAGAACTATATTTTACTATATTTTTGCGGAAATAATATATTATAACTCAAACATAATAAAACAAAAAGTTCGATATTTTTTTTTCTCGTTAAGCAAGAATAAGGAAAGAAAATAACAATTATTAATTATTTAAATACAAGTAAGGTTGACTTAATATTTTTTAAAAGTTAATTCATTGTTTATTTCAATTATTCAATATATGTATATGTATATATATTACATGTGCCTATATTAAGTTAAATGGCACGTTACAATAAATGACTATTTCTTTTTAAAATAATATTTTATTTTTCTTTTAAAAAAAGAGTTGACAAGGAGACTTTAGAATGATTTTATCCGCTAAAAAAACGCCATAAATCGACAATTATATAAACAGAAACAAAATGTTATTTACCGGAAATTAAAAAACAGTTAAAAAACAGTAAACGTAAAGATTCAAACAGCTATGAATTACACTGTCATCTTTCAAGAGTGTCGCATGAATCATTTATGCTTATCCATGCCATTTTTTTGCTGAGGATTAGGTTTAGTTTCTCTCTCCCGCGCTCCCCTTAAAAAAAGAGAATATTCAATCTATCTTTCTTATTAAATAAATAACTTTTTATTTGTATTTCGTTATTTATTTTCCATATTCTCTGACAAACACATGGTTGTTCTTAAGATTATGTGTGTATATATATTAAAAATATGGGTGAATGATAAAGTACATGATGGATTTATTGTACGAAAATCGGCACTTATGAATGGTGTATGCCATTGATGGATATGCTGGAACATCGGAACTTCTGATCACTGAACAAGTTTTTTCAATTTTTTTTTGTTGAAAGAGAAATGGCCATGTTTGACCGGTCAAACTATTACCCTAAGGATTGTTTCTTCTTCCGGACCCTCCGTCATGCTTTCTATTAAAAGCCCGGCCCGCTTCTTAGACCTCAGGTTTAGGGCAGGGCCCACTCAGGGTTCAAGCAACCCGACCCGACCCGGACACAGGCCCTGTGGGTTTTTGCTCACCACGCGCTGCGGAAGCGCAAGTGAGTCGACAGTGGCACTCAAAACGCAAAGACTTTATGGGTCAAACTGAAATCAAAACCTCATCATCCTCAACACTCACCCAACCCAACATCACACCTTGAACACCGAAACATAACAACAACAACAACGACACGGTCATTCACTCACTCTATCACTCCCTCGGAACTAAAATCTCGCCTTTCTTACTAAGCCTCATTGCCCAAGACAACATAATCAATGTTCCCAAACTGTAACCGCTACAACAGCTCTAAGATTTCCACCTAAATCATAGCCTCATCTTTCGTCCTTAATTCTAAACTCTTTGGTGAAGTGGCTTAATTACTCAATCATATATCATATAAAACATTTCAGAGACGACTTTTTCTGCATTGTTGTTCAATTGGGTCGTCGAATCTCTTTTCAGAAAACTCTTTTTCCCCCAAATGGATGATCTTTCGTCCAGCCTTCTGTGCCAAGAAAACGATACGTGTTTGGAAGAAGGAGGTGATGAATTAGAATGCCAATTGGTTGGATCACGGCATGATTGTGGGGTTTCGGAGGATGAGTATGTGGGGATTTTGGTTGAGAGAGAGATCGTTCTTGGGTTCAGAAGGGACGAAAGTTTGGTGTTTGGGGACTGGATGAAGCGTGCACGCTTGGAGGCAATCAATTGGATTCTCAAAGTTAGTCCAACGACCCATTTTACTTGTACTTTCCATTGAGCTTCATTAATGAAACTGCATTAGGAAACTCGATCTTGATTTTCTTTTGTTTGTTCCTTTTTAATTTTGTTGTTCATTAGACAAGAGCAACATTGGGTTTTCGCTTCGAAACGGCTTATTTGTCAGTCACATACTTCGATCGATTTCTTTCTAGACGGTCCATTGATGTATGTAAGCTAAAACGTTATGTTACTCTTCCAATTAATGACAGCATTCAATCTTTTATCGCTCTTCTTCATTGATCTTAATTATTCCTTACTTACCCTTTTGGTCGAATGCTTCATTTTTGTGCAGAGTGAAAAGTGGTGGGCAATTCGGTTGCTTTCAATTGCATGTCTCTCTTTGGCTGCAAAGATGGAGGAGTGCAATGTGCCAGAGCTATCAGAGTTCAAATCGGAAGACTATTCCTTTGAGGGAAAAGTGATTCAGAAAATGGAGCTCTTGGTGCTCACCACATTGGAGTGGGAAATGGGTATCATCACTCCCTTTGATTTTCTTTCCTATTTCATCACAAAGTTCTGTAAAGAATCTCCACCAAGTCCTACTTTTTCCAAGACCATGCAACTCATCTTTACCACTATGAAAGGTGAATCACGAGCACCGGCCTTTCCTTTCTATCTTATGGCTTTTAAGTTAACTTTTTGACAAAAACATTCAATGAGTCACATTCCATAGGCATTTAGCAGATATATGTTCTCTTGTGCAGAGGTAAATTTAATGGATCAAAAACCATCAGTTATTGCAGCGGCTGCTACATTAGTGGCAATGGATCAAAAAATGACGATGGAGGAGGTGGAGTTGAAGATGAGTTCAATTCCTCAACATAGGCTTCTAGAACCTGTAAGTTTTGTGTTGTTTTTTAAAACTAAAACATAAACATATAAGCTAATGGATACTCCGAATTAATTTATGCCCCTTTTGGTTTGTTTTCTTCGCAGAAAGATGTATTGGAGTACTACAATCTAATTCAAAGATTACAGGAGGAGGAGACCAAAAGGGACACGCACACGCCAATCGACGTGACTGACAGCTCCAGAGTTACTTCTTCCGCAGCAATGGCAAAGAGAAGAAGACTCACATTCAGTGATGAAGGAAGTAGTCATGGGAAGAAGGGACAGGGCTAGAAAAATCCAAATTTTTTCAATATTTTTTAAGGTCTAATTATTTAATTGTGAAGATTATGTTTTGGCATTCTTGATTAGTTCTAGCATTAATCTCACCCAGAGATAGAGGGGGTGAAAGTTAAACCCACATGTGAAAGGTATTGATTGTTGGTGCAAGAAAAGTTTTTTAGTATTGATTTGGTGTCTTCCTGAGTAACCAGCAAGGCAAAGAAGAAAAAGGAGGAAGCAAGAATAAAAATTCAGGGTTTGGGATACATATTTTAGTTGAAGTGTTCAAATCAAATCACCAGGTAAACACAAAAGGCCAGATGCTGATCTAGAAAGCTGCAGAATCAGAAGCAGCCAGTTAGGACTTAGGACATTGTTTGTCCTCTTTTACCCTTATAATTTATTGTGATTTTTCTCCATTCTTACTGTTATTATCATTTTTTTCTTTTTTTTTTTGTTTCGGTTAATCATTTTAACCTTCATTGCTTCTTCATAGCGGATTTTGTTTTGTCATAATATCTCTTGCAACCTAAGTTTTGATGGATGCTTGGGATGCTTGGTAGTGTCTTGAAAAAGGGTGAAAGCGGGAAGGGAAAACTGTGTTGGTTTGTTTGGGTGCATGGTCTATGTTGCATAATGGCCATCATAAAAGTTTTGTAAGGATGAATGTGATTGGATTTGTTTGAATGTCTGACTGCTTTTAAGGCGGGACCTACCCTTTTGCCTGCAAATTTTTACATGGCTTCGTTGTGTTCATGGGTCATCAAACCTCAGTTAGTGTTTGTGGAATCAAAAAGATTTCTATGTTCATTATGCTTTGAATGCAGCAACGGACTTTTGTACCCTCCCAGGATTACTCTAACAAACATTCTAACTTGCTGTACTCTTGTTTACACGACATCATTTACAGAGTGTAAAAGAAAAGATAAATGCTGAAACGAAACAAATTGGTGCCTCAAACCGTTTTTGTCCAGAACAAGCTCTTCTCTTACTTGGTTGAGATAGAGAAGAATATTTGTAAATTCAACCACTTTTTTTTGGAAAAAAAAAAAGATGCTTGCATGCAAAGTTTCTTTCTTTTATCTCATTTATTTGATTATTAGTGGGAAGACTGTTAGAGCAAACTTTTTCTTAACACTTTTAGGGGAACTTTTTCTCCTATAAATTAAACTAATTTATTTATAAAATATATTTGGACAAACTTCTCCATAAATATTTATATATAAAAAAAAGTAAAGGTGTTTTTTCTTTTCTGTAAGTTACAATTAATTTATAATTGAGATAAGTAAATTTTTATAAAAAAATTTAAAATGTTTTGATAAACCACTTGTTGGATTTGGCTTATAAAAATGTTTATTTCATTATTTTATTTTTCTCTACATTAAGTTCTTTGAAAAGTTTTATTACAAAACCTATAAACTAATTTCTAGAAAAATTATTATAAGTTTTAAATTTAACTTGTGATAAATTAACAGTCACTGTTGAAACTTATTTACTCATTTTTAAACTACTTAAAAAAAATTATCTGAACATATCTTTATAATAATTGAAACTGACTCTCCTAAGATTTTGATAAGCCTAAAGTGTAGGATGAGAGATGTTGGTGATGCTCCGTCCCTTCTCCACAATTTTAGAACAAGAAAGAATGATGAATGTAGAAGAGTTGAAGGGTCAATATGAAGTCCGTGAGAAATGATTGGTGTCAGCGGTCAAAGTAGTACTTGTACTCAATAAACTATACATAGGAGAAGTATCTTCGATGCAGATAGTTCATGGTTGAGCCAAGATATACTATTTATGTCTTCTTTTACTAACTCAAACAGAGTCTGATTTCAGATGACTAACCATATACAAAAATCCGTGTAATACGGCTTCAGTATGATATGACTGTAAGTACCACATCAAATTAACCGCCAAAATATCACAAACTTTAAAACAATAAAAATATAATGTTTAATATTCAGCGTCCAAGACAAAATATGTGGTAACCAAAAACAAGCTGCTCTTGTCCTATTTACTATATTTTTTTTTCTTATTATGGGTCTTTGACAATCATATGTTCATAATTTTTGGTCTTGATTAACTCTTTGACAATCATCGAGGTTTATTCGCTTATTTAATAAATAAAATTACTTTGTTGATTGCAAGAGATAATCATTAACCCTAGTTTGGACTCAGAATGAAGTTTCTGTAGGAAGAAAGAAAGGGTAGACATATTTAAATTTGCATTTAAAGGTAACTTTTTTAAGGCACCCTGCGAGTAGCCAGGTGAAAGCACCCAGTCAAGGTAGATGTTGTAATGAGCTGTGTTGAAATTCTTTAACGGCTTTGTATTTTAGTTAGTTTAAGATTAAAATCTTGACCAGGTACTAGTTTCAAACAATAAAATAATTTTGTTCCAACGGCCTCAACACTAAATTATGAGTACCGAAGAAAAGACATCAAACCTTCTTTAGGAACTACAGAGGGAGCTGCCCAATTCACAGAACAATGTACATTGTGCAGAACTAGAGCAAATGCAATTCTCTTATAACAGACCTACTGAACTCCGATCCATCGAGTACCTGAAAACTCTGAGAAGCCAAAGTTTGTGTGCAGCCATCACTGCTTCTTTAGGATTGAATGGAAGCACTTTTTACTCCTGGGCATTGCCCTTCTGGTCTTCAAAAAATAATGGGCATCCACAAATTTTCCTGGCTAACTGCATAATCAAAATTAACTTTGATCAGACGGGGGAACCAACCTGCCAGAGATAATTTGTACAGACATACGTGTACACTAAACATAATTCAACCCCCTCTTCCCACCATATGCAAAAGCCAAGTTTTCTTTATTGATCCAGGCCAATGAAAATATTCTCAAAATCATCTAGGTTGGTGATTGTTTTCCTTCTCATTAGGACAGACACCAAGCAGTATCCTGTATACTCATAACTGAAGCTACCTTGCCTGCTTGGAACCTAGAGAACTTCCCTAGTTTAATTTCCCAAAAGTAACTCTACTGATTACACCAACAATTGATTCAGTAAACTGGAGTCTAAAACTCGTAGAAATACAAGTTTCTTTCACAATTACTATGAGCTAAGAGGAGAAAGGTATTGCATAAATTTTCTTTTGCATTTTAACTTGATACATAGTCATTCACGCTGAGTTCAGTGCGACTGAAAATCATAATTGGAAATATCAGAAGCTTTGATCTCCAATCTCATTACCTAGAAGAATCCAACCAGGGTAAGCTCCTGCGTTTGATCTGCTGATGGTCACGATAACTAAAAGCTTAAACTAATATTATTACCTTGGTCTTGCCGAGAAAACGCAATTCAAACATAAGCAGCAATCAATTATCTAACAAAGACGCATCGAGAAAATGCACAAGCCTCTTGCAAACTCGTCAATTCTATGACTTAGATACTAAATAGAAAGAAATTGTGGGAGGACATCCCTGCTAATGCTGTTGTCATAATAATAAAAATAATAACATACTGGAAGCAAACAGAAATTAGAATCTCTATACTGCAAACTCACCTTGTTATATAAAAAGTTTCAATTTACTTAAAACAAGTCAGTTTAACTTGAGAATCATGAAAAATGTATACATTTTTTATTTTGAAACCAGGAACAAATACCAAATCTAGCTTCTTATTTGTCAGCTTATGGAAATTTCATGCATATAAAACTGTTTGTTTGATAGGTGTCGTTCAAGATACTAGGATAAAAAAAGAGCATTGATTTACGAGTGAGAGCAGAGACGGTACCTAATTTGTCTGCATTGATTTTAGACAGATCCCACGGGGATCATCTTTAGAGCTGCCGCAATTGGCATGCCAAAGACTCCAAAGAGAACGCTACCGAACCACTGCTTCAAACTAAGTGGAGATGTGTTTGCATAGGTGCCCAAAAATTCAACAATAATAATTTGGAAGACCACAGTGCAAGTGAGCACAGCTACGAACACATAATTCTTCAATATACCTTCAAACACATTTATCCTCTCCATATCTCTGGAGCTAATCTCATTGAAAACCTACCAATATATTTGAATAACAATGATCATCATATAAAGTATAATAATCAGAAGGAGTTACAGTCAGAACATTCTATTAATGAATTTCACTCCTCGTACACTCAATTGAAGATTTAGAAAAATATTTGACTGAAGAAAGAATTCAGGAAATTAGTTTTGAAAAAATATTGTGAATATTTTATGATTGACAATAGGAAAACATACTTCTATTCGTATAAACTACAAAGGTGAAAAAGGAAAAAGCAAAGTCTGAACATGAAATTATATCCAGATAACAAGCATTCAAAGATGGTACATAGTTTAAATTTGGTCCTCTAAATTTAACAAGAAAAAAAAATGGAAACAGAAAAAGAAATCAGTAACTACAAAAAGAAGTCTCCAAAGCCAGTCAGAATTTTCAATTAATATAATTTCTGCCATTCAACTTCAGGACCATATCAGAGCAAAGAAAGACAGACACTGAAATAGTCCAATGCTTTTAAATTTACCTGACAGAATACGAATGAGTTGAAAATAAGTGTATTCAATGTCATATCAGAATCTGGGCCATGAAGATGAAATGCTGCTTTTCCTCTGGTCTGTAGGAACCATATTACGACAAATTGATATATAGACTGTCCCAAGATATTCCTCCACATCACATTACTGATGAAGTTTCCTTTCCTACCAACAGGTGGTCTTTTCATCAACTCATCGTTAGGAGGTTCAGTGGCAAGTGCAAGTGCTCCAAGAGTGTCCATAATCATGTTGACCCAAAGAAGTTGAACAGCAGTGAGAGGAGCATTTCCTAGTAATTCATATATGAAGGGGGAAAATGAGACAAAAGTAATAAATTGCATCTAAAAATAAAAAGAAAATTTTGATCAGAAAGTTAAAAACGGGCAGCATCATGATTACCAGTCAAACAGGCAGAAGAGAAATTGACGATCAAAGCAACTACATTAACAGTTAGCTGAAACTGCACAAATTTCTGAATGTTTATGTAGACCGAGCGGCCCCATTTGGCTACGGTCACAATAGTGGAAAAATTATCATCTAGAATTATTACGTCAGCACTTTCTTTTGCCACCTGAAATTGATAAAATAAAGAAGTTTACGAAATATATTATCAAGTACAATTCAGCATAATGATTTCAAGGATCAAAACCCTCCACTAGCAACCAATGAATCGTTCAGGAATACGGATAATAAGTATAAAAAATACAGAGCAAAAGTTCATGTTTTTTTAAGGAACTACTAACAGCTTCTTTATCAACTCGCTGAACTAGATTTAAAAAAATTATTATTTCCGAAAATTAGGCTAAAACGAACATGGAAGTAATAAGCACTTTACATCTAGGCATACATATTAGAGAACTCAAACAACATTTCTCCCAAAACATTCAAGTTGCATTTGGAAATAAAGACGATGAAACATAGCCGCTAAATCCAATTACCTAATTCCCCATGAAAAGTAGAAGCAAAAAGAACATCTGACTCAAAAAAAACCATTCATGCTTTCAAATTAAAGAAAGACATTAACTAAGACAAGATCAAGAGAGAGTTGTTTTGGCATACCTCAGTTCCAGCAATGCCCATTGCAAGTCCAATATCTGCTTCATGAAGTGCTGGAGCATCATTTGTTCCATCACCAGTAACTGAAACTACCTCTTGAAATGTTGTCCTTAAGTGTTTCACCAGGGTATGTTTATCCATTGGTGAAGATCGGGCCATTACCTGCAGATATAGACATCACGTAATTGTAGAAGAATTTCTTCTTGGAGAAGAGTAATGTAGGACCCCAAACTGTTACATTCAATGTAACCCCAAACTGTTACATTCAACGCTCAACATTCACCCAGTGTATTCTCATGGTCCATCACTGGTATCCATTTGTTACCAAAAGAATTAGCTTTTGGCAAACTATTCTCATTAACGGCTTAGTAGTACAAATATCAAAATGAACTTAGCTTGAAGGACTGATTGAAGGAGCCCGAAAAGTAATCCATGTCAGGTAATTTAATATTGTGGCCTAAACTGAATCGTACCATTTTTAGCCCAACCTGATTAGCCCCGGCCTCAACCAAACGACTCTTGGCTTACTAGCTAATCTTGTTTATAAAATAGTAACTATATTAAAAAAATAAAACAACTATGAAAGAGTAGTATTTTATTAAAACAACTATACGTATTAGAATTTATATATCAAATGATTATATCTAAAATTAAAATTAATTTTATTAATATGAATTTTAAAAGTACACTTTTTTAATTTTTATTTTTATTTTTTAAAAGTGGACCAAAATGATTTGATGACATAGGGTCAGATTGGGTCTGAAAATTGCAGACCATTTAGAATACAGTGTAGGCTAGCACAAATTTGTTAGGTGGTCCGTCAAGATGGACCAAGACGCACTTTTTGTCACCTCTACCTAGTAGCCTGATATCAAGTGTTGTTTGTCTTGGCTACAACTAAATTGCACTTTGATTATCCTAATTTTTCAAGATAAGATAATAGGTAAAAGTGGACTTCAACATAAAAAGGCAAAGATACATGGTACCATAAAATCTTATGATTTTATATTTTATAAATCCTTCAGAATCCAAATTATAAAATCCTATTCCTAAAAGTCTTTTAAAATATCTTTAAAAAACCATTACATTCTTACAAAATCTTTTAAATTCTACAAGACTATTTTTACAATGTTTTTTAAAATCCCAATTTAATACGACCCCTTGGTGGATGACATATTTAAATAATTATACTGTAATTTACAGCACATATAAAACACAACAATAATTTTGCATAGGCAGTAAAAGAAATTTCAAACTTCAAATGGGATTTTTTTATGAATTGTTCTTTTATGATATTGGCATGTTCAAGCAAAACCTCTATCTAGATTTTTGAAAAATCGATTAAATGACATGTACACACCTGAATCTTCGGAATGATGTCAAGCAATTCCTCCTCAGTCTTCTCACGAAACTCAGGGCCTTCAATTGCAATACCATCCGTTAAAATTCCACATTCTCTAGCAATTGCCTTTGCTGTATTTATGTTATCTCCAGTAACCATTCTAACAACAATACCAGCTGACCTACAAATGGCAACAGACTCTCGAACACCAGGACGAACTGGATCTTTGATACCCACAATTCCTATACAGGNTTTGGACTCAGAATGAAGTTTCTGTAGGAAGAAAGAAAGGGTAGACATATTTAAATTTGCATTTAAAGGTAACTTTTTTAAGGCACCCTGCGAGTAGCCAGGTGAAAGCACCCAGTCAAGGTAGATGTTGTAATGAGCTGTGTTGAAATTCTTTAACGGCTTTGTATTTTAGTTAGTTTAAGATTAAAATCTTGACCAGGTACTAGTTTCAAACAATAAAATAATTTTGTTCCAACGGCCTCAACACTAAATTATGAGTACCGAAGAAAAGACATCAAACCTTCTTTAGGAACTACAGAGGGAGCTGCCCAATTCACAGAACAATGTACATTGTGCAGAACTAGAGCAAATGCAATTCTCTTATAACAGACCTACTGAACTCCGATCCATCGAGTACCTGAAAACTCTGAGAAGCCAAAGTTTGTGTGCAGCCATCACTGCTTCTTTAGGATTGAATGGAAGCACTTTTTACTCCTGGGCATTGCCCTTCTGGTCTTCAAAAAATAATGGGCATCCACAAATTTTCCTGGCTAACTGCATAATCAAAATTAACTTTGATCAGACGGGGGAACCAACCTGCCAGAGATAATTTGTACAGACATACGTGTACACTAAACATAATTCAACCCCCTCTTCCCACCATATGCAAAAGCCAAGTTTTCTTTATTGATCCAGGCCAATGAAAATATTCTCAAAATCATCTAGGTTGGTGATTGTTTTCCTTCTCATTAGGACAGACACCAAGCAGTATCCTGTATACTCATAACTGAAGCTACCTTGCCTGCTTGGAACCTAGAGAACTTCCCTAGTTTAATTTCCCAAAAGTAACTCTACTGATTACACCAACAATTGATTCAGTAAACTGGAGTCTAAAACTCGTAGAAATACAAGTTTCTTTCACAATTACTATGAGCTAAGAGGAGAAAGGTATTGCATAAATTTTCTTTTGCATTTTAACTTGATACATAGTCATTCACGCTGAGTTCAGTGCGACTGAAAATCATAATTGGAAATATCAGAAGCTTTGATCTCCAATCTCATTACCTAGAAGAATCCAACCAGGGTAAGCTCCTGAGTTTGATCTGCAGATGGTCACGATAACTAAAAGCTTAAACTAATATTATTACCTTGGTCTAGCCGAGAAAACGCAATTCAAACATAAGAAGCAATCAATTATCTAACAAAGACGCATCGAGAAAATGCACAAGCCTCTTGCAAACTCGTCAATTCTATGACTTAGATACTAAATAGAAAGAAATTGTGGGAGGACATCCCTGCTAATGCTGTTGTCATAATAATAAAAATAATAACATACTGGAAGCAAACAGAAATTAGAATCTCTATACTGCAAACTCACCTTGTTATATAAAAAGTTTCAATTTACTTAAAACAAGTCAGTTTAACTTGAGAATCATGAAAAATGTATACATTTTTTATTTTGAAACCAGGAACAAATACCAAATCTAGCTTCTTATTTGTCAGCTTATGGAAATTTCATGCATATAAAACTGTTTGTTTGATAGGTGTCGTTCAAGATACTAGGATAAAAAAAGAGCATTGATTTACGAGTGAGAGCAGAGACGGTACCTAATTTGTCTGCATTGATTTTAGACAGATCCCACGGGGATCATCTTTAGAGCTGCCGCAATTGGCATGCCAAAGACTCCAAAGAGAACGCTACCGAACCACTGCTTCAAACTAAGTGGAGATGTGTTTGCATAGGTGCCCAAAAATTCAACAATAATAATTTGGAAGACCACAGTGCAAGTGAGCACAGCTACGAACACATAATTCTTCAATATACCTTCAAACACATTTATCCTCTCCATATCTCTGGAGCTAATCTCATTGAAAACCTACCAATATATTTGAATAACAATGATCATCATATAAAGTATAATAATCAGAAGGAGTTACAGTCAGAACATTCTATTAATGAATTTCACTCCTCGTACACTCAATTGAAGATTTAGAAAAATATTTGACTGAAGAAAGAATTCAGGAAAATAGTTTTGAAAAAATATTGTGAATATTTTATGATTGACAATAGGAAAACATACTTCTATTCGTATAAACTACAAAGGTGAAAAAGGAAAAAGCAAAGTCTGAACATGAAATTATATCCAGATAACAAGCATTCAAAGATGGTACATAGTTTAAATTTGGTCCTCTAAATTTAACAAGAAAAAAAAATGAAAACAGAAAAAGAAATCAGTAACTACAAAAAGAAGTCTCCAAAGCCAGTCAGAATTTTCAATTAATATAATTTCTGCCATTCAACTTCAGGACCATATCAGAGCAAAGAAAGACAGACACTGAAATAGTCCAATGCTTTTAAATTCACCTGACAGAATAGGAATGAGTTGAAAATAAGTGTATTCAATGTCATATCAGAATCTGGGCCATGAAGATGAAATGCTGCTTTTCCTCTGGTCTGTAGGAACCATATTACGACAAATTGATATATAGACTGTCCCAAGATATTCCTCCACATCACATTACTGATGAAGTTTCCTTTCCTACCAACAGGTGGTCTTTTCATCAACTCATCGTTAGGAGGTTCAGTGGCAAGTGCAAGTGCTCCAAGAGTGTCCATAATCATGTTGACCCAAAGAAGTTGAACAGCAGTGAGAGGAGCATTTCCTAGTAATTCATATATGAAGGGGGAAAATGAGACAAAAGTAATAAATTGCATCTAAAAATAAAAAGAAAATTTTGATCAGAAAGTTAAAAACGGGCAGCATCATGATTACCAGTCAAACAGGCAGAAGAGAAATTGACGATCAAAGCAACTACATTAACAGTTAGCTGAAACTGCACAAATTTCTGAATGTTTATGTAGACCGAGCGGCCCCATTTGGCTACGGTCACAATAGTGGAAAAATTATCATCTAGAATTATTACGTCAGCACTTTCTTTTGCCACCTGAAATTGATAAAATAAAGAAGTTTACGAAATATATTATCAAGTACAATTCAGCATAATGATTTCAAGGATCAAAACCCTCCACTAGCAACCAATGAATCGTTCAGGAATACGGATAATAAGTATAAAAAATACAGAGCAAAAGTTCATATTTTTTTAAGGAACTACTAACAGCTTCTTTATCAACTCGCTGAACTAGATTTAAAAAAATAATTATTTCCGAAAATTAGGCTAAAACGAACATGGAAGTAATAAGCACTTTACATCTAGGCATACATATTAGAGAACTCAAACAACATTTCTCCCAAAACATTCAAGATGCATTTGGAAATAAAGACGATGAAACATAGCCGCTAAATCCAATTACCTAATTCCCCATGAAAAGTAGAAGCAAAAAGAACATCTGACTCAAAAAAAACCATTCATGCTTTCAAATTAAAGAAAGACATTAACTAAGACAAGATCAAGAGAGAGTTGTTTTGGCATACCTCAGTTCCAGCAATGCCCATTGCAAGTCCAATATCTGCTTCATGAAGTGCTGGAGCATCATTTGTTCCATCACCAGTAACTGAAACTACCTCTTGAAATGTTGTCCTTAAGTGTTTCACCAGGGTATGTTTATCCATTGGTGAAGATCGGGCCATTACCTGCAGATATAGACATCACGTAATTGTAGAAGAATTTCTTCTTGGAGAAGAGTAATGTAGGACCCCAAACTGTTACATTCAATGTAACCCCAAACTGTTACATTCAACGCTCAACATTCACCCAGTGTATTCTCATGGTCCATCACTGGTATCCATTTGTTACCAAAAGAATTAGCTTTTGGCAAACTATTCTCATTAACGGCTTAGTAGTAAAAATATCAAAATGAACTTAGCTTGAAGGACTGATTGAAGGAGCCCGAAAAGTAATCCATGTCAGGTAATTTAATATTGTGGCCTAAACTGAATCGTACCATTTTTAGCCCAACCTGATTAGCCCCGGCCTCAACCAAACGACTCTTGGCTTACTAGCTAATCTTGTTTATAAAATAGTAACTATATTAAAAAAATAAAACAACTATGAAAGAGTAGTATTTTATTAAAACAACTATACGTATTAGAATTTATATATCAAATGATTATATCTAAAATTAAAATTAATTTTATTAATATGAATTTTAAAAGTACACTTTTTTAATTTTTATTTTTATTTTTTAAAAGTGGACCAAAATGATTTGATGACATAGGGTCAGATTGGGTCTGAAAATTGCAGACCATTTAGAATACAGTGTAGGCTAGCACAAATTTGTTAGGTGGTCCGTCAAGATGGACCAAGACGCACTTTTTGTCACCTCTACCTAGTAGCCTGATATCAAGTGTTGTTTGTATTGGCTACAACTAAATTGCACTTTGATTATCCTAATTTTTCAAGATAAGATAATAGGTAAAAGTGGACTTCAACATAAAAAGGCAAAGATACATGGTACCATAAAATCTTATGATTTTATATTTTATAAATCCTTCAGAATCCAAATTATAAAATCCTATTCCTAAAAGTCTTTTAAAATATCTTTAAAAAACCATTACATTCTTACAAAATCTTTTAAATTCTACAAGACTATTTTTACAATGTTTTTTAAAATCCCAATTTAATACGACCCCTTGGTGGATGACATATTTAAATAATTATACTGTAATTTACAGCACATATAAAACACAACAATAATTTTGCATAGGCAGTAAAAGAAATTTCAAACTTCAAATGGGATTTTTTTATGAATTGTTCTTTTATGATATTGGCATGTTCAAGCAAAACCTCTATCTAGATTTTTGAAAAATCGATTAAATGACATGTACACACCTGAATCTTCGGAATGATGTCAAGCAATTCCTCCTCAGTCTTCTCACGAAACTCAGGGCCTTCAATTGCAATACCATCCGTTAAAATTCCACATTCTCTAGCAATTGCCTTTGCTGTATTTATGTTATCTCCAGTAACCATTCTAACAACAATACCAGCTGACCTACAAATGGCAACAGACTCTCGAACACCAGGACGAACTGGATCTTTGATACCCACAATTCCTATACAGGAGTAACCACTAGTAGGAATAGGAGTTCCAACAGAAAATTCATCATGAATATCCTTGTAAGCAAGGCAAAGTGTTCGGAGAGCTTCACCAGCGAATGTCTCAATGATATTATTCATGTGATTGATGGAGTCTTCATTGAGTGGAACAACCTCGCCCCTTGAGTCCACAACTTTGTCACATGCAGCTAGAACTATTTCAGAGGCACCTTTACAATGTGCTCTGAAACCACCATCAGGAAGCTGTAAAACTACCCCCATGCGCTTCTTTATAGAATTAAACGGCTCAACTTTCACAAGTTTTGACCTTTGTCGTTCCTTTAGGAAATCACCACCAAGTGACAGTCCAAATTCTAAAAGTGCAGTCTCAGTTGGCGACCCCAGAATTTCAATCTTCTCATCTTTGTTTTTGACAACCTCTCCTCCCGTGTTGTTAAATATTGATTCAAGTAGAATTGCTACAGAAGAATCGTGAATATCAGATGAGAAATCAGAAGAGACCTTAGAACTGTTTACTTCTTTAATCTTCCCACATATATAAGCTTTTACAACAGTCATATAGTTAGTAGTTAGTGTGCCAGTCTTGTCACTGCAAATGGTAGTTGCAGATCCCATTGTCTCACAAGCAGCCAAGTGACGAACAAGTGCCTTATCATTCATCATCTTTTTCAATGCAAAAGCAAGGCTTAATGTTACTGCTAAAGGTAAACCTTCAGGAACTGCAACAACAACAATAGTAACAGCAATAGCAAAGAATTCCACAATTTCCATAGCATCATCACCAGACCATGTCCACTGGGATCCTTCTCGCAGCTTGCGGCTAAATAGCCCTTGGACCAACACAGAAAAGGTCACAACTGCAAAAAAGAGGCCTATTTTCCCAATAATGGTAGCAACACCATTCAGTTTTACCTGTAAAGGTGTTTCATCATCTCCCCCTTCACTAAGAGTAGCCATTAGTTTACCCCACTGGGTCCTCATTCCAACAGTGGTCACAAGCATCTTGCATGATCCATCTTGGACTTTGGTTCCAGACAGCAGAAAGGGATTAAGTTCATTGACATTGACTGGTTCACTTTCCCCCGTCAAGCTTGATTCATTTATTAACACAGAGAAACCACACACGAAAAGCCCATCAGCAGGTACCTGATCTCCAATATTTAGATGGACAATATCACCAGGAAGCAGATCATATATTGAAAGCTTCTGCCTACAGCCATTTCTCGTTACCTGAACTGTAATTTTCTTCTTCTCTTTATCTAGATCCTTAAACTGCAGTGATTGTCGGTAATCACTTGTGGCAGTGACAAACACTACAAGCAATATGCTAGCAACAATACCAATTCCATCCTGTGCACCTTTGGGCCACCCTTCCATTACTATACCAACCACTAAAGAGACCAAGGCACAGACAGCAAGTATCATGAGGGTTGTATCCTGAAGGGCTTCCCATACAAAAACCCAGAATCCACGAGCTGGACTTTCAGTAAATTTATTAACTCCATAAATTTCTTTTCTCTGATTGAGCAAGTGCTCAGATGTTGATATCCCATCATCAACCGAGGTATTTAGTTTGTTTGTGATACCCTCAACGCCACCATGAATTTTCAACTTTTTCACATCACGTCCCTCAACAATCGATCCCAACTCATCAGCACAAATTTCAAAGCCCGCGGTTTTAACTTCTTCTGGTACAGTGTACTCAGTTGACAAATTTAGACCTGAAGAAGTACAGACTTGTTTATTGTCTTAAAATGAAACTTTCAAAAAAAAAATTGAAGTGCGTTCGAGTTGAATTCCTTACCATGAATAAACTGAAGAGCAGCTTGAGAAACCAACACTGCAACTCTGAACTTTTCCTGTGATGTATAGTGGTGAAAGGGAAATCAAGAGATCATGGAATTAAGCTATTAGAGTAATCTTGGGATGCACAAGGCAGCGAGGGGACATATATTCATTCCAATCCTTCCAAGACTTGTTTTCTTATTCAAAATTAATGTCTTGGAATTCAAAGTGTTACATGCTCAAACTTAAGTATGAATGCTGAAGTATGTTGAGAATAAATGGCTATGCAAGTTGAGAAAATTGGCAATTTATCCCCTAAAACACAAATCCCCACAGAGCATCAAGGATAGGTATTCTTGAGATTGTACTTTATAGTTATTCATTGTCATTTGATCAAACTTATTACCCTAAAATTAAAAGTAATGACCCAGTCCCAAAACCAAAACGATATGCAGCATAGGCCAGTCTTAAAACCGTAGACAGAAAGAAAAGG